TACGTCGAAGGAGAAGGAGTGGTCGACGAACGTAAGGGAGTGGTGACGACGCAGTGGGGGTGGATATTTCTTCATGCAAGGCCTTGTCAGGATATTTCTTCTGGAAATTGGCCTTCAAGTGCCTCACACAGTAACGGTGGTACGCATAGGGTTCCTGCCATTCAGGCAAGTGCCGTACAGAACTTAAAATACCACCATATCGATCAGATATTAGACAAATACCTGAACGTTGTTTGACAACGTGCTGCTTCAAGTGGTTCAAGAAAAGCGTCCACATCTCTTCGTTTTCGTTGGCACAAATGGCAAAAGCTAGTGGAAATATTTGTCCGTTGGCATCTACTGCAACTGCAATTAAAAGTTTAATATCATCCTTTCCATAGACATGAGTACCGTCTATGAAAATTACAGGACGACAATGCACAAAACCATCAATTGATTGTTTAAATGACCAGAACACATAGTTGAAAATATATTCTGGTCTATCCGGACTCCGCTCAAGCCTCTATTCAACAGCAATCCCGGGGTTAAAGTGTTGCAGTGCGGCCATGTACCTGGGCAACGATGAAAAAGACTTATCCCTGTCGCCATAAATAAGTTCAAAGGCACGTTTGCGACCGAGATATGCCTTTCTTTTGGTTATAGTACAACCATACTCCTGGTGGACGGTTGTAATACACTAGTTAATCTTGAACTTAATGGACACTTCCAAATATGGAATCAAGACAAGAGAAATCAAGTCTACATCCAGGTTGAAATGATTCTCATTGAATGTGTCCATTTCACATCTGTGGGTGCTAATAAATTTACCCACTTTCCACTAACCTGATTTCTTCTTGCTGGCACGCAACATACAGTGACAACCCATAAAGTCTCTACGGCATACAGCCTTGTATACCTCCATAGTTGACTCCCTTACCGTCATCTCACGACACTCTCTTACATTGTAAATTTGTACAGCCCTAATTATGCGAGATTTATCGGGGAAATACATGCCCTTTGTAAGAACTGCTGGTCTAGACTCATCCCACATCGCTGACCAAATTTCATCAGCATCCCTTATGAGGGCATCCACGTTTGGCATACTTAGCAAATTATCAAGGTAGGGAATATTCCGCTCATGAAATGGCACGTGGGACTCGTATACTCTTTGTCTAGTAGGAGGTGGGGGAACATGCTCCCTCGTCAGCTCAGGTTCAATATTCACTTCCTCCTCCTCATCACCCTCATCAGGAAAGGGTGTGTCATCTCCAGACTCATCCGCATTGTTGTCATAATCATTATCATCTTTCTGACTCTGCGCATCTGCCAAATCACAAGTCAATACGTCGTCTATGGGCAACTGTGCGAGGTCAGGAACATCAAGAAGCTCGTTTTCACTGCACAAAAAGAACAAAATCATAAGTTACCTAACTAGATAAATACTTTACATATAGCTATATCACTTTACTTAGAAGTCGTACTGTCTTGACGTTTCATGATGGATATTTTCTTGTTGGTGACGACTCCCGGATGGACCACCGTGGTCCAATATGCCAGAACTACACATATTCCAACTAGGGGCAGGGTCATAACTTGTAAAATTCATATTTGGACGGTACCCCCTATGAAAAATATGAGTGTTAATACAAATCCAATTAAAACATAAAATAAACAATGCTAAAGCGTAGAAAAATTGAAGTTTACCAGTCGTCTTTTGGATTATATAAAGTCGAAAAATTATTTTGTGGCTGCTCATTCGCCGGTGGTGACAAGTTTAAATCAAGGCAAGCTCTTTCATCAGCAATCTGTCCGGCAAAAACTGCTACAGAATAACCACCCAATGACTAGGGGTTATCCCTACTATGCACGCCTTCATTATTGGAAACGTCTTCAATCTTGACGTATATTTCCAACAATTTTATTACAATAATTTCCCTGTATTCATCCATAATCCGCAAAAAATCTCTAAGAGTTTCATCATCTTCGATGTTAAACTCAGAATAATAAGCAAACCCCTACGGAGTCACTGAATACGGAAATCTACCGGTTACTTTAAGGTTAACCGAACGCTTCCTCACACTCATCTTTTTACGTAACAACGATACCAATTTATCGTACTCCATTGTAAGCGGCAATTTAACATGACACTATGGAGGTGAGCTATACCTCACAGAGTTATTCTCCAGCACAACCTCACCCCTCCAATATAATGAAACCCTTATTTTTGACTCTTCAGACATTATAAAAAAATGATTGATAAGAAGAAGAGAGAAATATGAACGGAAGTTTGAAGAAAGTATTGAATGGATTTTCATAAAATTGAAACGCCTTTAAATAAGGCAAGTCCGAGCCTGGGGTGCAGAATTTTTTTTATGTAAAACGCAGTACAATACCACGTTTTATATATTTGAATTATTGTTATGTCAGTTATCCGCAGAACACTTATTGGTGGGCCCAAAAATCAGAGTAAAACTCAGTATAATAATATGTTTCAGTGTAAAACGCAATATAATACTGCATTTTACACTAAAAATTAATTCTCTGCAATCCTGCAGAAGTGGGCCCAAATATTATAGGGAAACGCAGTACAATACTGCGTTTAAGTTAAACGCAATATTGTACTACGTTTTCCTGAAAAAAATAATTTTTTAATAAAATGCAGTATAGTACTGCGTTTAACTTTAACGACTAACTTTTCGTTAAAGTAAAACGCAGTATTATACTGCATTTTATATATTTATGAAACATTTTTTTTAACTGTAGAAACGTATTTTGTGCCAATTTTAGCACTATTTAAGTTTCAGACCCCATCATGTAGAATCAGAAATGGATCCAAATGCAAGTTTCGCAATTAGACCAGTGTTTATTTCTTTGTGTGTATATCTGGTTAAAATCTCATTATCCCTCTACTAAGTTGGATTAGTGGGAAATACAGCTGTGTCAGTTATCATTTACAGTAATCATTAGTGAATCTGGTAATAAAACAAACTAATATCCATCCCATTGTTAATAGACGATTGTACATAGGGAAAGAAATTAGACAAAAGCAAGCGCCAAGCGAAGTTTATAAGCAGAGCGAAGAGTGCACAAGCGGTGGAAGAAGCCTACCCTGTTATTTCAGCTGCTTTTAATGTGTCAACAACTGGATCTTAATTTACTCCCTCATTTACCTGATATGGTTATTAAATTGTTTTTCAAAATTAAAAATTTCCCAACTGAAAAGGCTTATTTGTAGATTTTTTTGGGTGAAAAAAGGCTTAAAAATTGATTTTTTTCCCAAGTGAAAATAATATTTGAAAATTGGAATTGTGTTTGGATATAAATATAATTTTGAGTTGTTTTTTAATTTTTGTGAGTGATCTAAGAGAACTTTAAAAAATAGCTTTTTGAATTTTTTTAAGTTTTCGAAAAATTCCAAAATTCATTTTCAAGTGAAAATTGAAAATTTTATGGCCAAAAACTGATTTCGAAAAAAGTGAAAAAATTTCGACAAAAAAATAAAAAAAAATCTTATGTCCAAACGAGTAATAATAGCATGTTTGGCCAAGCTTATTTTTGGCCAAAAGTGCTTTTTTTTGCCAAAAAATTGAGGTGTTTGGCCAAGCCTCTGGAAGGAAAAAAAGTGATTTTGAGGGGAAGCAGAAGCAGTTTTGGAGAAGCAGAAAAAATAGTTTTTCTCCAAAAGCACTTTTGAGAAAAATACACTTAAAAACAATTTTTTTAAAGTTTGGTCAAACACTAATTGCTGCTCAGAAGTACTTTTCAAATTAATTAGCCAGACACAAATTATTTCTCACAAAAAAACACTTCTCAAAATAAACTAATTTTTAAGGGCCGGCGAAACGGGCTCTAAGTCATTTGAAAGTGCTGGAATGAGCAAGGAAAATGACAGGAGTTCAAAATCGGAGTCCCTCGTTTCGTAATTTCAAGAAAAAAATTGGGTAAAAGGATGCAGTACTCTCCATATACAGCCTGTCACCATAAGTTGACTGGTTGGCAATGCAGTGGACCCCTTAAAATAAATTCCTTTTAATTTTCAGTGATAAAATGTTGACGTGGCTTCCTGGTTCAGTATTCGATACAATATCACCTCCTATTTATACCTCCCTTGTCTTGTTTCCTGTATTCATTTCTCCATTCATATCACATGCTTCCATCTAATTTTACGAACACCAACTGAGTCTGAATCGGATCTAGTGCTTCATTAGCAAAATGGGTATTTGCAGTTCGTGTGAATCTACATCTGTTGCTACAGCAAAATTGATATTACAAGACGGAAGATTACAAGAGTTTCCGTACCCAGTTAAAGCTTCATACTTATTACAAAGAGATCCAACAATATTCATATGTAACTCCGACGAAATGGAATTTGGTGACGTTGTTTCAGCCATAAGTGCTGATGAAGAACTTCAACCGGGTCAACTTTACTTTGCGTTGCCTTTGAGCAATCTGAAACGGAGGCTTCAGGCTGAGGAAATGGCAGCATTAGCCGTCAAGGCTAGTTCTGCATTGAATAATTGTGGCGGTGAAAGATACGGTTGTCGGCGTAAAGCTTCAGATTTCTTATTGGAAAAAGGTAAAGCGGGAGATAATAATAATGGTTCAGACGCGGCGGATTTGAGAAGAGCGAGGAGTAGTGGTGGTAGTGGGAGGAGAGGGAAGTTTACGGCGAGGTTAACTGCAATACCTGAGTAGCAAAATGTTTCATTTTTCATTTGTGAATAGTAGAATTAGTTGAGATTAAAATTCAAGAACTGCTCTATGATTAGTGGGTGGTTCAAAATTCGGCATCTACTTTTTTTAGTTTTAGAACTAGTATTAATTTTCCTTGTCAGCCAATGTAGGGGTTGTATCACAATTTTACCTCTATGAGTTTGATAAGCTATATGGTGTGAAATCATAAAAATATTGATTCCATGGTTACATCAATTTGATTTACAAACAGTTGCTACAACTTCAATATATTTTTCTCTTAAATAGTATAAGGCATAAACGTCTGTAGTAAGATGACGTTACTTAGAGATGATAAAGACGGAGATTGGCGTTTTGAAAACTTCGACACTTTGATTGATACGCGACCTACGTACGCTATCTTCTCGGAGCAACGAGCACGGATTATAACGAGATGTAAGTGATGGAAAATAATAAAATAATGAAAAGAGTTTAAATTTTATATGTTGATAATGTAATTTTCTTTTATATTATTAGATCAATTTTATACTTGATTGTTACGACAAACTAATGTATATTGATATAGTAAAAATTATACTATGAGCATATGTAAACTGGATGAGTTAAAATTCAACAACAACAATAACAAAAAACAACAAAAAAAGAACATCTTGTTGCCAAAGACAAATCAAGCAGCGCTATATAAGGTCAGATTATGTTGTTTGACTTTGTCTATACGGCGGATTGAGAATTTAAATTTTATGGATTTAACTTTAAGATTTTTAATAATGAAATTTAATTTGTTTTTTACGGGATCATATCTAGTATTTGTAGCATTGTTAATGAATTTTGACACATAAATGTATACAATGCATTGAGAATATTAAGTCCAAATGAACCCGATACCAATGCACTATATTAGCCTCTATCGGACATGAATTGCATCACAGATATTACAAGGATTAAGTTATAAGCATACAGTCCCATAATTAGCTAACAAAGTAATAATGTTAAGGCTTTGAACAGTGTTAAAATAATCTAGTAATAATGTTCTAAAGGGACAGCTCAATGATGAAAGAAGAAATTATAATTTGAATCTCAAAATCATGATCAGTCATGCACTACAATCACTCTGAACTCGTGGATTCCCTCTTAAGTCTAATCAACTAGAGTATTAATTTATAAAGAAGAAATAAACTAATCTAAATGAATGAGATGAGTTATTGCAACATTATATAGGGTCAAAGAAAGAAAATATTCTATGAATGTGTATTTGCAACTAGTGGCAGAAATAAATTAACCGTCATCACAGAATAATAAGGTTATATTGTCAAGTAAATTTAGGATTTGAAGCTTATAAGTATCTATATTGACTTCAAGAAAATTTATATTAATAATTGGATTCGCAGTTAACTATTTATAAATATTTTGTGGACTTCTTATTATATAAATAAAATTTGAGTAAAAGATATTGAATTCACCGAACTCTAGATCCGCCTCGACAAGATTCTCTCCATACTACTTTGCTTATCTTTATACAAATTTGACAGGATAAATTTGGTAGATGATGTCGAGTGTGTCTGTGGTTGTGTCATGATTGAAAAATTTAATAGTACTATCACTACATTTATTTTTCAATTTTATTTGACTTCGACAATGAAATTATTAGTTACATATCCTTTCGAGGTCTAATTTCACTAATGCATCAGAACTATTTTCACAAGGTTATATCTGCCATCTGCAACTCCAATAACGGGCTAAATAACATTTTACTTTCTCCACCGTACATCAAATAAAATATAGTAATAGGTGAGAAAACTGAGAAGAGGGAGTGGGGCTAGCGAATCTCAACTCTCTTACAGCTAGAACCATGTCACAGTCTTTATCTACAGTATGACATTTGTTTTTACCTTTGCATGTGGAAAATTACCTCAGTGTTTCTGAATTATGATTATAGAAGTTTGGTATAACGGAAAATGTTTTAGTGGTCAAGAAAATAAGTACTCCAATCTTATTCATTATTCAGTGTTTGATATGCAAATTAAGGAAAATAATTTTTCAAGAGTATTCATAAAAATTTTAGATACAATAAACATGTAGCCATAAAATTTCGAACCAACAACCTTCCGAATCTACAAATTTCATAAATTTTTGAACCACTAAACTTTCGAACCCGTAAACTCTATAATTTCTAAACCCGCAAATTTCCAAACATATAAACCTCCGAATTCATAACTTTAGTACTCGTAAAATTTTGAACTTGTAAACTTAAAAATGAAAAAACCAGAACTGAAAATATATATTAAAAAAATTGTGTGGGGGGGCTAGCAGGGTGGATGGTGACGAAAAAGATAAAAATTGAAATATGAAAAAATGCCTTTTTGGAGAGGTGGGGTAGGGGAGAGAAGGGGGAGGGGGTTGGGGTTAGATGTGACTTGTGAGGGTAGGTGGGTTTTTGGAAAATATTTTCTTAACTTTTTCTAGGGGAGTCATTTTCCTCCAATTTTAGGATAATATGATATCTAGGAAAATATTTTTCAAATTATTTTGTGCAACCAAATAATAAAAAATGGGAGAATGTTTTCCGCCCTACCAACACCCAGAATAATGACCATAAATTTTGCATTTCAACTTTTGAGCTAGCAAACAAACAATGCGACAATACATAACTTTACCACAAGTTGCATTTTGAAAATTTTGACTTCTGAGGACAAACTAATGAATTATTCATATGATACATACGACATTAGAATGAAAAAAGGTGGGGTTATCTTCCCATAATTAGAAAAGCAAGTTGCAAAATGGTAGCGAGGCTAATTAATATATGTAGGCATTTTAAGCAAAGGTGATTGGTGAAGGCTGGAGCTGGACCCATTTTCGTTTGATATGCTTCGACTCTACTATTATCATTACATCACCATCAAATCTTGAGAAGAAAGGGCAAGCCAGCTAGGAGAATCCGATGCTTCACGTATTTCAAGTAGATAGAGTTTCTAAAATGAGGTTTATAAATATGCGATGGTCTTGTTTTTTAACCATACAATATTCCAGTCTAGAACATAGCATTTCAAAAATGTCATAGCACATTTTTTATTCAATATATACTTGCCCCGTACATATACAGGCTTTTATTTGCATGGGAGTTTAATTTCTAACATGCCCCATGTTTGTAAAATGGTGTACTTATGGACTTTGGTCGAACACATAATTATGTGAATCCCGCCACACACAACCTTTTTTTAGATCTCAGAAAGTAAAATGATTTTTTTATAAAAGTATGTAGTAATTATATAATTTGAGTTGGAGACGTGACAGTGGAGATATACAGTGGATGTTCCTTGTACGTATTGCAATTTGCAGAAGTGTACATATGCATTGTGCTATTTTGACTTTATGGTTACAACTCATGATCAGTGTCCAGACGGCTAGTGTGCGTTTCGTCATTTTATTGCTAGAAGTCTTAGTTGATTCGGTACTCCATTCCCTTCCCATACAGTCATACACAAAGGGCAACAACTTCATGCCTGTGATGGCAACCCAATTTCTTCAAATCTATATACTACAGATTCAATATGCGCATCCCTCATTATCAATGAGGGAATTTGCTATTCATTAAAATTACAAGAGAAATAGTATCTATAAGTGCAAGGGGACTGAAAGGAAAATATGATTTTTTATGTTCTTTACTGTTTGCAATCCATCATTATTTAGCTTCCTAATTAATTGACTTGAATGATTCTGAAGTGGTGTAAAGAAGGAAAACAATAAATGCATATGCAGTAAGGTCAAAGAATCATAAGTTAATGGTGTTATACTGCCCGATAGTGCTAACTTGCAGTGTTTTAAAAGGCAAGGCGTTTTAAATATGCTTCAGCAAGGCGTAAGCCCCGGGCACGAGGCGTAAGCCCCATGGGCATTTAATTTTTAATATTTTATAAAATAATATAATTACATTAAATATTTATAAACAAGTAAAATTGCGTAAAACTTGAAGAAAACTATAAATATGTGATATGTGTGTGTGTGTGTGTGAGTGCGCGCGCGCTCCATCCACATAAAAAACTAGTCAAATAATATATTATACGCTACTTACAAGTACAAGTAACTTGAGTCGAAAAGAATAAAGTTCTCTACATTGAGCAACAAAAAGAATGACCAATCTGCAATTTGAACTTTGAACTTGCTGCTATGAAGAAGAATGAAGTTCTCTTTATATTTGTAAAAAAAATAATTGAATATTCGTTTGATTTTGGGAGATATTAGCAGAATAGCGGACAAGATAAAAAAATTAAAAAAAAGCCATAAATTAGGGCTTCAATCAATAGAAAAGGTCTTGACTTTTAAATTTAATACATTTCAGTTCCTTTTTAAAACTTTTAAGTAACTACAAGCTGACTTTTGAAAATTATTTGGGTATTATATTAAGGACTTATTCAATAAATTTTGTTAACACGCCTCAAATACCCAGGCGTACGCCACGAAGTATTGGGCATACGTGCAGAAAGACTTTCGTCCCACACTATCGCCTCGGGGTATTGTCACACCCCGTCTCAAACTGTGGCATTCTTTACTTTAATGAGTGTAATAATAAAGTAGGTATTGTCACGCCCCAAACCTGGGAGGCGTGGTTGACACCTAGTGTCGTACTGGCCTGTGCGAACCACTCTATAACTCATGATCGTTCGACCAAAACTATAACATACATAGGTCGAGTTATCTGAACTTATTCCTTTTGTAACTATCATGGGCCTACATGGCCACGACTCATAATGTACAACTGTAAGTATGCAACACTATATCAATAAACTATCGTTCTTAAGACATGAATACATATGGGTCGTCAATGCCTCTGACATACCGTACAAACTGAACCTCTGTCTACAAAGTCTCTAAGATTATTTAACATCAAATGAGACAGGGTACCGTCCTACCCATAAGTCTGTAGCAAAACTCTGACACAATGACTCATAGACTCGGCTACACTCCGAATGAGGTGGAGTCTTACCGATCCCTCGCTGAATGCCAATCTCGTTTACGATGAGGGCTCGTTAGAATGATTATCTATACCTGCAGGCATGAATGCAGCGTCCCCAACAAAAAGGACGTCAGTACGAATAATGTACTGAGTATGTAAGGCAGAACTGAAACATAACAATAAGTCAACATGAATTGAAGACATAAGAATCAACCTGTAAGTCTGAATAACTCTGTAAATCATGATATACTTATAGTGTT